TTCAGCCTTCATATTTAAGGCTCCTTACTGGGTTCTGTGCTATTCTGAAGTATCTTCTTGTAACCTGTAGTACATTTCATTCAAAGATTAAAAACAGATACAAAACAGTAGCCACCCTGTTTTATTTCACAGTTTGTATTTTTTTTTTTAAGGAAATCGAGTCCTTCAGGTTAAAAGTGGTTCTAAAACACTATTATCAGTTATTGTCAATATGTCATTATTCAGATGATGGCTAAGAAAATTACCTTTTGGGTTTTGTTTACAATTAGGATTTTTTATAGAGGTGGATTTGTGCTGGCTAATGTGAGATATGCTTTTGTGATCTTGAAACAATGAGTGACTTTGAAGAATGGAGTTAATGCCTTGTCTCCAAAGGGCAGATGATTGAAAGGGAACTTGAAAGTACTGTTAGCCTTATTTGTTTTCCTTAGGTTTGCTGCATTAACTAGAATAGGTGATTGACAGAAGGTAGGTCCAATTGGGGAGGCAATAATCAGGAGTGGATTTTTGAAAACACATGCTATTGAAATCAAATTCAGAGCCTAAACTATGTGTTCAGTAACTCACTGCTCTTAATTTTACTTGGGGTATTTTGAGCTGAGCCACCATGTCCCTACAATTGATAGATCTTGAAGTTCTAATGAAGAAAAAGTAAATTCTGTAAGACAGAAGTCTGCCCACATTGGGCATACATCATGAAAACCAATATTGAAAAAATTCAGGTGGGGGCCGAGGGGAGCTAGTCCCTTAGAGTGAAATATGTTATGATGAAACAATCAATAAACTACAATGGTATACATAACTGCTAAGATGTAGATTTTTTCTTTTTATGCAAAAAAGGAAGAGGGGGAAAAAAGCACAATAAAAGAAAACATACCCATGTTTGTTGTATTTGCAATTAGCCACAAGCAGCAAATCTGACTGTTTTTGATTCAAAATAATGTCAGTGATTTCTTCATACATATCTGTATTTTATGGAAGCCATTTATAAGAATTCCTGTCCTGTCATTTTTGTAAAAATCTAACAAATGCTGCCCCAAACCACAGGGCATGTACTTTTGTGCTGCCAGAAGCAATTTTTCAAATGACCTTTCATCCAAAGTGTATATGCTTATGCTAGGAAGTTTTTTCAGTGCAGTTTTATTAACACAAATGAGACAATGGACCCTCAGATGATGGGGATGTGTAAATTCTTTTACCACTCAAATATGAGGCAGATGCCCCTGAGAAACGGTGTGATACTTAGAAGAGCCTAAAGAGAGCCCTTTCCAATCTCCAGTACATATATACCAGGCAGGGTATATATGATAACTCCCGATGGACCTGCTTTCTCCAGATAAGTGTTTTTTCCTTGTCCCTTCAGCTATAGACTTGGAGAGATCCAGCACAGAGATTAGAGGGCAAAGTTACAAAAGTTGTGATCCTGCCTACTTCTCTGACTTAACTCTGTTCTTTCTCTCTTCCTCCCTTCCCCTCCCCCTTTTGTTTCAGCATTCATCACAATGATCATTGTAGCCCTCCTCCGCATTGCCAAGGGTCAAGGGGAAGGTCACCCACCTCTGGCTCAGCTCTCAGGAGTCCGAAATCTCTTTGGGGTCTGTGTTTATTCCTTCATGTGTCAGCATTCCTTGCCATCCCTCATTACTCCCATCTCTAAGAAGAAGCACGTTAACAAGCTGGTCCTGCTGGATTACATCTTGATCCTGGGTTTCTACAGCCTACTGTCTTTCACTGCTATCTACTGCTTCCGCAATGGGACTCTAATGGACATGTACACGCTCAACTTCACAAACTGTGACATTGTCAGTATTGCATTTATCCGCTACTTCCTGGGCCTCTTCCCTGTCTTCACCATCAGTACAAACTTTCCTATAATTGCTGTGACTCTAAGAAATAATTGGAAGACCCTCTTCCACCGGGAAGGGGGAACCTACCCATGGGTAGTGGACAGGATTTTTTTCCCTGTCATCACGCTAATTCCTCCAGTTATTGTGGCTTTCTGTACTCATGATCTGGAGTCCTTGGTGGGCATTACTGGAGCCTATGCTGGAAATGGGATCCAGTACATCATTCCTGCCTTTTTAGCATACTACAGCCGGAAAGAAACCCAGCTGACCTTTAGAAATGGCACACTCAATAAACATTTGTCCCCTTTCCGGCACACATTCTGGATTGGGTTTGTGCTACTCTGGGGCCTTTTTTGTTTCCTGTTTGTGACTGCAAATATCATTTTGAGTGAAACAAAAGTGTGATGATGGAGCAATATTGCTAGTTAAAATGACTTCTAAGACTTCTATTCTGGTGTTGCACCTAATAAGGATATTTTTTAAACTATCAGCTTACTAATACATTATTGAGCTTGATGCTCATTTGAGGTACCTTGCTGCTTGTTACTTTTCAGATTCTGATTCAGTGCGTGAAATAATTGGACTCTATCATACATCAGGCTGCTATGAACAGTCTCTGACTAAATGAGATGTTTTCTTGTCTGTTAGAAGATGTCAGAGACTGCTGGATATGCATCTCACCCACTCATGTGATGGAAAAGACCAGTTTTGCTTTTAGCAGTCAAGCCAATAGCCAGTGAATCAAGCAAATTGCTTACTAATGACTGCTTACCTAATCATATTCCTTCTGAAGTGGTTTTCCATTCTGTCAACCCACTGAACAAGGAATATTAGGAGCAAAATGAATGCAACATATGGAACTAGGATTCATAGCTATTAATATTGCATGATGTATGTGGCAACCTAAACTCTGGAATAGAGTAGAGGAACCTCACCATTTCCCCTTCTTCCCTCATCCAGCTTGAATTGTTTCCTCCATTTGTTTTTCAGCCTTTCCAATGCACATTTTGCTTTATTTCATATAATGCAGTCCTGAGACTGAAACTTGTAGAATATTACTTGCCAAGTGTTTAAGCTTTGTTTTTAACTTGTCTCAGATTTCCCCCCCTCAACTGTTTGTGTACAATATGCATCTGAGCAGGGAGTTCTATCATGAACCATTCACTGGGGTGACACAAAATCATCTCTTAATTAGTCATAAAAATAAAGAAAAACTGTTTCCCATTATACTGCTTTATTCTCTCTTTATACTGCTAAACAGCATCATGCAAGTGTCACAGCAGCAGGGCAGGCCCTGTCTGAAACCTGCACCTTCTTTATGGGCATGAAAATGCTGATTCCTTACTAAAGACTTACTACTTCAATAGATGTGGAGAGCAGCTAATATTGTCTTGATGCAAAATATTAAGACTAAATTCAGAAAAAAAAAATCTTTAGAAAGTGAAAAGAGCCCTGTTCTGAAAGCCATTGTTCTTTTGTCTTCTATCAGAATATCATGGCAAATGATGCCTCCTGATTCTTGCTAAATCATGAACCCCAGTCCCTGAAATCTCATTTTTCTCTCTCCTTAAACTGATGATCACAACATCATAAAATGTAAGGGTTGAAGGAGACTTTAGAGATAATTGAGTCCAATGCCATGCCCAGTGCATGAATCAGTTATACAGCATCACAACTTATGGCTATCCACATTCTGTTTAAATACCTTTTGTGAAGTCAACCACCATCTGAGGGAGTCTGTTCCATTGTTGAACAGCTCTTACTATAAGGAAATTCAGATGTCCCAATACTACTTTCTTTCTTCCATTGTTTGTCATTCTGTCTTCTGAAATAACTTTGAACAATTCACCCCATCTTCTACATGGCAGCCATTCAGCTCCTTAAAGACAGCTACCATGTCTCCCTGCAGCCTTCTCTTCTCCAGGCTATATATATCCAACTCTGATAACTTTTTCCTTCCAGGTTCCTTACCATCTTGGTTGCTGTCCTTGGACACAGAGCTATATAAATCAAACCAAATAAGTAAATATCAGTTTGTCTGATATTGCTAAAACTGTTATTGCTAAAATACAATACCCAGAACTGGATGCAGTATTCTAGGTATGATCTGACTTCTTCTCTTGAATCAGGGTGCTATAGGACAACTAAACCTTCCTGAAGAAATTGGGGTGAGGAGGGTTGAAAGAGGACTCCAGCATCCATCACCTGTGCAGTATTTTGATCTTAAATCTGATTCCCACATCTGATTTGATACATGATGGACAAAATACTGGATTTAAAGGCACTGGTTGCTTCTCGTTGGGACCATAAGGCTTCGTTGAAAAGGAGTATTTCTTCAGCTCCTGTTGATACAAAGTCGCTTACGAGGAGTTTGGGTCACAAATCACAAAGTTATCAGTATAAGGAAAGTATTATTTTTTATTTCCTTTGGCTATAAATGTGCTTAAAGTGCTTTTTCTGTTATTAAATTCTGTCTTCCAAACAGGTGGATGATGCTTCTCTTCTCCAGGCTGGCTGTACT